TACCATCTGCCTTGGAGGCATGCTGTTTAGTCCAAGCATAGTCAGTTTGATTCCAGTATGGTCCAGGCTGTCTGGCTGTCTGAAATGATGTGTTTTCAGTCTGGCAAGAAGGAGGGTGAAAAAGAAAGGAGAGGCACCAGTTCCAGCTCAGACCCATCTCCTTGTCATAGGAAACCCCAGCACAGCTCTCAAAGAGCCTGCCTTTCTCACCGCGGGAGCCAGCAAGATTTCATGGCTCGGAAGTGCACGCATGCTGCTAAAATGCTTTTGAAATGTGTGGATGTAGGAAAGGAACCAGAGAATAGAAAGTAAAACTCCTCTGCTGACATAAGTGCGGTAGATTCTTGGGAGAACCCATATGTGATCTTTTGATTAAAACCGTTTCCCCTGTGCATGCTGAAAGGAAGCTGAATTATTGCACTTTCTAATTTATAGATGTGTTTTTCAGCAACCTTAAAATTCTCCTTAGACAGCTTTACTGGGGTTTACATCAGTTAACATCACCAATTTCTTAAAACACTGTCAGATAGTGAAGACACATATACCCATTACATGTCTTTATCTCTGTATGTTCGCAATGAACAGTTTTAACAGTCCAAAAGATGCTGCATATTTGTCAGCTTGAGAATTATAGTGAATGCCACGGTGGAGTTCTTTAAGAGATTAAAACAGCTTGAGAGCTTAAAGATATACATTATAAAGCCTCCCATTTTAAAAGCCTGGCCCCTGCCTTCAGTCTGCTTCCCTCGTGTGACAGGGAGTGCTTGGACACATGGCACATATTCTCCTTAACACAGAGAAAATGCTTAATATGCAAGGCTTTCATATCAGTGGGTGCCACTATGGTAGCAAAGCATGTGTTGTATGATCTCAGGAATGTGACAAGACCCCTGTAAATATTAAATCTGAGGAAGTGAAATATATTGGAAAAGCCTACTGATTCCTGGAGAAGATTTTTTTTGGATGGTGGGGTCAATTATAACCTAGTATTGGATTATCAAAATGAAATTCAAGGTATTGATCTCATTAGCAGCACCTCTCTTCTGAGGTAAGAAGCAGCCACATTGGGTGAGAAATATCAGCCACGGCTTAGATAGGAGCCCTAGGGCTTTACTGGGACACTCAACCAGTGAGCCGGGTGCCTGTTTTAGAGGCGGAGTCCTCGGAAGAAGTCTTGGGAAGCCACTGATAAAACTGAGGAGAAGAACTGGAATCCTATCCCCCCATGATGGGGATTTTGCCATTATTGTCAGTGGAGTCAGGACAGCTTACACAGACTTAAAAAGAAAATTCCCTTTTCTTACTGGTCTTCCTTTCCAGCTAGGTTGTAAGGAGGAGCTCATGATAGAAAAATCCAGGGAAGACATCATCCTGGTGCCTCGAGCAGAATAAACAGAAAGTAAAGGGAGGTGCAAAAGAGCCTATAGTTAGCAAACATATATGTTATTGCTTGATTGGGTTAAGGAAAGCAAAATTTAGACAGAGGACCTGTGAATACTACTTAGTAAGATCCAGGAGGTGCTGAAAAAAACCTAACACTCCAGGACTGCACTAGAAGTAGAATATCTTCAAATAAGAACAATAATAGGGCTTTTGGGGTCAGAAGAAGTGCAAAGGAGGAAGAGTACTCTGCAGCTTAGGTTTGACTCCTTAGAGTCTGACGACCTTTCGTAATATTATATGGTGCTGCCAAATTTTCAGAGTAGCTTTTTCCTGAAAAAAGCTACAAATCAATTTGCAAATATAGAAACAGTTAGAATTATGTGCAGTACTGAGAAACTGGAGTTTGCATTGACTCTTGAGTTGTTTTTGAGGTGCCAGGAGTATTCTGATACCAAGCAGACCACAAGGCAGAAACCAAGAGTAGCTTGGGGCTACATAGCCTTGTAACAAGACAAGAAAAGTAATAGGAACCGCTGACTTCACCTTTTTGCTGTGATTATGTGGGGCAGTCAGCAACAATTTTGAAAACTACTTGACTTTTTCCCTAAAAATAACCTTCTGGGTCACTTTTAATCAAGTCGAAATGGCCAAGTTTCTGCTTTAGTGATTCTTCTATAAACAATATTTGACGGGGATACCTTCAAAATCAACAGTCGAGCATTTTAGCGAGTTATCTCAGACTCATTTCTGACTTCAGCCTTGTAAATCATCACCAAATATCACACAGCTTCACGGCCTTAATCCTCTGAATAGATATCTAATGCTGTGTAAATCTGTGTCAGGAGAACAGCAGCACCTGTGATGCATTTCAGGGTGACATTTATGGCACTCTGGAGAAAATGGTAACTCTCTCAAATCCAAAGTCTAGTTTGGCAGAATTGAAGCAGGACATCTACCTTGAGAGTAGGGGAGTTATGGGACATAAATCTGAGAATAAAGAAGGAAGAAAGCAGAAGTTTGTACAGGGCAATCTGAAAACCTTAAAAATATTTGACTTTCAGTCATTGGAGGTGAAGATAGTGAAGAAGAAGGGTATCAGGTGATTTGTATTTGATTCATTTTCTCTTAGATCTATATATTCATTTAACAAACACACGAGCCCACTGTGGAATATGTGAGTGTGCATATCTTGGTTTCGATCATATAGGATGCTGTTTTTCTTTTTCCTCCAGCTTTTCAGGTTAAGAATCTCTGAGACCTCATAGATTTAATGCCATTTTCTGTACTAAATTTTCCACCAAGGATATAATTATATACCACAATGGTACTCTTAACAAGACACCTCAAAAATGCAAAATATATTGAAATTTTAAGAGGCTCTAGCATATTAGCATACTGCTAACCTGCCAACTGCTGTAAGCCAAATCCCACAGTCCTTTCTCCTTAATTAGGTACCTTCTCATTAAAATCAACCAGAATAGTAAATAAAAGTTGCACACTTTGGACTCTATGGTAATGGGACTTTAGAGGACAAATCATAAGCTTAAAAGCCCTGCCAGTAAAAAATAGGGAAGATATTGCTAGATGGCACACTACCAGTTTAAGAACATCAGCAAGTTTAAAGTGGATTTAAAGAGACTTCCTCCTGTCAGAGATAGAGTTTCATATTTAACTGAGCACTAACTCTAAAATTTAGGGGGGAAAAAAGTAATACCAGTGAGTATATCAATCCTATAGTAGGATCTACTGCAAAATAGCTTCTTCTGTGCAAATATGAGTTCAAGTCTTTCAAGAGTTTTCTTAGGGAAGGAAACAACCTGATTGTCAACTGTGAAGTTTTTAAAGAGTTCTCACTGCTAGAATGAGAAAGTGGTTGTTAGCAGACCTTCCTTCTGCATCAAACTCTGGATCTGCTCAAGGAAGGAGAGCTTGTGTTGCTCCTTGTTAACAGCAACATGTTCAAGTGTGACAGCCAGTCTCTGTGCCACTTTGTCACCTACAGAGCCAGGCTGGCTGATCCCAACAGATATCCAACCCGTTGCATCCATCCCAGCCTTGGAATCTTCCAGACCTGCTCTTAGGCTTGCTGCAAAGCACATGCCATTAAAATAAATAAATAAATAAATAAATAAATAAAGTAGGTAAATTGAGCCAGTTTTGTAAAGATACTTATATGTACTTATATCCAGATATGACAAACCTTATCACAAACCTCATGGATGATGTTGAGCTGGTCACTCAGTGGTCATGTTCAGAGGAAAAATCCTAAAATTGATGGGATAATTTAATTTCCCAGCAGAATTGACTGTCTTCATGGGGAAGCCTAGAGACTGCACCTTTTTTATGTAATTGGAATCTGAACTTTTAGGCTTAGTTTCTATCTTTTAAATGTCAATAAAGTACATTCCTTTTAGGTCAGCTTTGCAGATAAATACACTTGTGAGAGTGAGATACTCACATGCCATGATAACCATGTTAAAGTTACTAAAATAAGACAAGAGCAGTAGTCCTATATCTCTCCAGAGAAAAGAAGAGATTATTAAAGATGGGAGTAAATTATGGTTCCTTTGAAGTCTGTGCAAATCAGAGCAATACTTATGGTGCTGGAGAACTGTTTGGTTTCTCACTCCCTAGTCAGTGTGAATTCAGGTTGTGAATACTGTTTTCAATGTGCAAAATATGTTTTCTCCATATACTTGTTCATCTGACCAGTTATCCCAACAACTGCCTCTCTGTTCACACAGATTCCTGTTGTAGACCTGGTAACACCCACATTTTTGCTCATCTGGACACCATAAAGAACAAGAGCATTGAACCTCCTCCATGCTTTCTCCAGTTTTGAAAATAGTTTATAGATTACTCCCAACAAACTGTTTTTGAGGGGGAATGAACCTTAACACTCAACACCTGCCAAGTTTCCTTCTCCTTTACAGGCTGTTTAGGAATCAGAGAAAAGTGGTAAAGTGCTGAACAAAACAGTCATGTCTACATAATTCTTTTAAAAGCCTACGATATAAAGTAAGATCTATTGCCAATTTTGAAGACTTGTTTTCTAATCAGTAAGTTTAAGGCTGGTAATTGAATGGTAGTTCTTAAAATCTTTTATCCCTGCCAGGAATGGTTAGATCTTACAGGTGTGTGGAATGGTTCATCTGGAAAGCCCTAAATTATAACATTTACGTGACTCATCATATTTCAAAAGTGGAAGGTGCTCATGCACCTTCTGAAGTGTGCAGAAAACCCACAACGTTGGTGTCATGGAGAGATGGTTGTGTAGCAATAATTGCTTTTTTAATCCACTTTGTACAAACTGATGGTAAAAGGAGTTCTGCGTATTTAGTTAAATGAGAAAGGACACCTTTAAAAGTCTGTATTATATAAAGTTTGTATTAAACCTGAAGCAAAGTTTTGATAAGTTGGAAAGAATTCTATATATGTGTGGATGTAAAATATCCTTTTTACGGTCTAATGTAATGATTTCCATTTAAGATTTTTTAATTTTTTTTACCCTGTTGCACTAACCAGCTGTTTCTTTTCAGAATGGTAAGGCAGAAGAGAAGGAAAACAGCAGAAGTCCACTAACAGATTGGATTTTTTTCCTTTGTGTCTCCATACAGGTCTCTTTAATAAGCCTCATAGCTAATGCACTTGGATACTCCGAGATGGGTCCCATTAAATCCCTCAGGACACTACGAGCTTTGAGACCATTAAGAGCATTGTCACGATTTGAAGGGATGAGGGTAAGAGTAAATAAAGCACCGATCAAAGCTCAACTGTGTGACATCAAGCATGTAACAGGGCCCTGCTGCCCTTGGTTTTGTCTTCATTTAGTCTGCAAAAGGGAGCGAATTATAAAGCTGTATGAAGACAACAAAATCAGAAATCCTTTCTTTGTCTTGGCTGCAATTATATCTTTGCAGCTTTATCCTCTGGTGGATTTCACGATAAACTAATCCCGCTGCATAACTTGTCATATTGTGTTTTTAAAAACAGCTTTTTGGCTGAGGAAGCATCTGGCTAACAATTACCTCTCAATTATACGGCGTAGCAGGGGAATAACAGAGCCACAAGTTTGCTGCTTGCTTTTGACATGCATTAAAATGAGACTGACTGGGAAAGTTCTTAAGGATTTTCTCACTGATTGTTAAAGGAAAAATTAGAAAACGCCAAAGATATGGAAAGCAAATGAACAAATCTACCGAATCTTTGCTTTGAACGTATTTCAGCTTTAATGTGGGATGACAGGATTAACATTATCACCAGTAATTTTTATTTGCTGCTCTGTCATGTCTGCCTCTCTCCCTTCCACCTTGCTTCCCCTGCATGGCTGTATCTGCGCAGCATACCTGTTTATTTGTTAAGCCTACCTATGACACTAATCAAGCACAGCCTAGATCGGTGCTTTGTTTATTTAACTCCTTGCACCATGCATGACTTGCAAACGATGACAACTGCTATCCATGTGAGCCGAGGCTGCTGCTAATCTTGCAGATCACATAGCAAAATAAAGCAAATCTCTGCATGGCACCTCCTCTGTAATCTGTGAGCACCACTTTGGGGATCTGCGGCCATAATTCCATGTAAGACAACTTATGTTCTGCCTGGAGAACCCAGATCTCTCTGCAAGGCCAAAGAAAATGGTACAGAGGTATTTTCAGCATAGAACTTTCCTGTAGACAAATTTTATTCTGACTCATTGGTGTTTAGAATGGGTCGTTCATGCAGTGAACTCTTAGCACTTGGATGTCCTCCTTGTGATACCTCTGCAGTAAGACAATGCAGAGCCTGATACAAGCCAGAAAACATGGCACAATAGAGCAATTTTGGAATACTTTTTTATTGCTTCAACCCGCACTTTGTCTGTTCTGTGGATTACCAGAGTTGGGGATCCAAGATTTTGTCCCACAATCACATAATTTCCATCAATGTAGTACAGCCAAACCTAGCTACAGGTCACTTTTCTCTGCATTGGTAGGAACAGGGAAAGGTTCAAGAGGCTCTATTCATCTGGGCATGCAAACCTGATTTATTTACCTCTTTCAGGAAACACAATGTTTTAAAAGTAATTCACAAAATCCAAACAGAAGCAATGCTGTGAATCCTCAGCCAATACAAAATGATACTGCATCGATGTCACTGAAGATGCTCACTCTCTTTCACTCTTTATTAAACCTACATAAGTTGATCAAAAGTTGGTTTCAACAAAAGCTGCACTTTTACTAGAGTGATTTCTGCATGGGCTCTCTCAAATAAATTTAAATCTGACTTATAGAGGCTTAGCTTCTATGGGTAGATTTACAAGTTCAAGCGAAACCCCTTTAAGATATTTTAAGCTGACCTAAGACCACTCATGCATGCCTTTGCATCAGTTTAACTAAATAGGATTCAAATCTGAAAAAAAAAAAAAAAACTAGTAGACTATCTCAAAGCATAGGAAAAGTGAGAAACTGAAAAAGAAGCAATACCAAAAAAAAGGCTCACATCTTTATCAAGGGGCTTTCTGAGAATAGGTTTGATGGGGATTCTACGTGTTGCAAATGCACACTGCTACATCAGCCCAACAAGTTTCATTCCTACCATGTTCGTACCCCAGGTGCATGATACAGCAGCCTTTCTCTTCGCTGTACCACTGCTGCAGCTGAAATATATTCAGTCTTTTTGAGCTATCCGAGGTAGTGATTTAGCTCGTAAATTATGATAAAGTGTAATTGGGAATACGTGCTATTGGCAAATCAAATCATTTTATTTTTAGCATGTCTAACCATGCTTAACATGACTAGGGACACTAAGACCTTCCATTATTAGGAGTTCATATGCTCCAGAAAACACAGGAAAGTTGCCAGCACAGTGATAGGTAATGATAATGTTGAGATGCGAACCTTGACAGTAAGAAAATAATGTTTTCTCTACCATAATATCCTTTGCTTGAGGGTCTCAGGGAGGTCTGTATGAATAGAACAAGAGTGAGAATGTTCTCATTTAAATGACAGGAAGGGACTTGGTGTAGTAATGCTGGGTTTAGGCTTTGGCACCAGCTAGTCCTGAGGGAAAATCACTAGGATAGTCTATAGGATCAGATACTTCAGGCTTTTCCCTGTCTTTAGAAGGATTGAGACCTGAGTTCAAAGAAAGTCTCAGTTTCTACCAAACCAACCCTAGGGTTTCTGTGCATGTGCCACCATCCTGCATCACCCACTACCTTCCAGGCTGTGTTAAATTAGGGTAAATTAGCTTAGGTCTGCCAGTCCCAAGTTATGCAGTTTCCCAAGTCTCCCCATCTCTTGTCCATCAAGGAGTTATTTCAGAGCTGCTGCTTCCCTGCAAATCTCTCCCCAGCAAAAATACTATTGCAGGAGGATTATAGACTATTTAATGCGAAGATGATACAAGGCAAAGTCATGGTGAGGCTGCTACAAGATACATTCAGGAAAGAAATAGCATTATTAATGCTAGTTAGCATGATTTCATGGGAATAGGTCTCAAAAAACTGATATGGTCCTTTGATTTGATTACAAATTATGCTGATGACAGTAACGGCACTGATACAATATCCTTAGATTTCAGAGAGGAATCTGATACCACAGGACATTGTGATGAAAAAATAAGCTTTGAAGCAAGCCAAGTAAACATACTCCAAATTAATTTAAAATGGAGGATGAATCTCAAAAAAAGTAATTATAAACAGTGATGAAACTGTAAATTCTGTGATGAGCGTCTCAGGGCAAGCAAGTCTTTGGAATAAAAGCTGTCCTTAATCTGGACTTTAACAGCATCTGGAAGAAAATATAAAATCTTTGCTGACAAGGCCAGACATAAAGTGAACGGAGTAGTAAGTGATATTACAGATAAGGGAATTATACTGACTGATCTGGATCACAGGGAAAAACAGATCAGTTTTACAACATGCATTTTAATAAAACCAAATACATCGTATGAGCAGGAAGAGAGAAAGTAGGTCACTCTGGGGGATGTTTCTTGGAAAACGGTGGATGAAAAGGACTTAGGGATCAGGATGACTGGTTGGCAGGGCACACTAGCTTGCAGGGCGATCGGGTAGGTGAGGCGACTGCTCCAACCCCTCAGTTCACAGGGAAATAATCAAGCAAACAGAGTGAGAGGGCAGCGCTCCACAGAGCATTACCGAAGGGCAGCACTGGAATTGTGGGATTCCCCCATCCCTGAGAGAAATGGGATGTTAAAAACTGGAAAAGCTCTGCAAAAAGCTACAAGTGAAATTCAGAATCTGAAAGAAACATGACAATTAGAAAGTAGTTTATTTTATTTACTTATCCAAAACAATGTTCAGTAGTAATCCACCCACAATCAAGACAACGATGATCAAAGCAGATTTCTAGTAGCAGATCTTCCAGATCCTCAAGGGAAGATACTGTGAGACGAGACAACTGGTGCCTCAAGCTCAGCAAATTCAGCCTAGAAAAAAAGGCACCTGTTCCTAACAGAGAGGACATTGTAAAGGACACCAGAATAGAGTCCCCAGTGATAAGGTGATTGTCCATTATTTGAAATCATTATACTGTGAACTAGATGTCTTTGCAAAATCTGTGCCCAGGCTTGGCTAGAAGTTATAGCCTGGCCTAGAAGCACTGAGTAGAAGCTGGTGACCTCCGCTTTAGTGAAAGATAAATTAAAGCATGATGCAAGTTATATTTTTTTTTCCTGGGTATAAAACCAGAATCACCTTCTTCTGAGCAGATAGTGAATGATATCAGGAGAGGTGGGTACAAGACATGAACTTTGGATTTGCACCACTGCAGATAGAAAGGAGGTTGGCTCAGTTTCTAGGCAATCACAAAAGAAGTTTCAGGGAAGGTGATCTTAGCTCTAAAGGTCTTAATAGAAATAAAGAGATATCAAACCTTTTTTTTTTTTTTTTTCTATATTTCTATAAGTGTTGCCGTTTCTAGATGCAGCAGAAATTCAGCCTTTTCCAAAGCAATGTTTGCAGTTAAGCTTTTAACATGAATTTAATCCTCCCTTGTCCCAATGTAAATTAAGAGTGCTTTCAGAGACCAGATGACACCACACTGTTGTAAAAGCAGAAGTCATGGGAGAAGAGTGAGCCCCTTTGTTAATAATTCATTTGGAGAGGTGTTACAGGATTTGTTCCAGTCTCACATCATGTTTTGTTATCTACAAGCCATTAAACATATTTCAGCAGAAGGAAAAAAAAAAAAAAAAAAAACAGCAGAATGGCCATCGTTTGCACTGCTGAAACCTGAGTGTCTGTGTCCTGTCACAGAACATGGAGTGGGTGTATACATGTGTAATATAACTTCAGTGGCTTTGTGCTGGCCACTTATTAAACAAAATTAAACAAAAACCTTATCCTGCATAGAAGCAAGTGAAAGCTATTAAGCCTGGGGCTGAGTAAACATCCAAATGAGCCTTTGCTTTGGAAAGCATTCAGAGTTTTGGTTAACCAAGTAAATGTTATCTAAAAATGCTGAAGTTAGGAATGAAGAAAAACCCGCAACTGAAAAAGAAAACCAGCGAAAAAGATTTCTGAAAAGTCATCAGGAATATGCCTATCTAGGAAAAAAAATTGGTCAAGCCACTTTTCCTGTGTGAAAATTAGCTTCATTCATAAATGCACAAAATATAAATCTGGGTTTTTGAAAGATTTACATAATTTTGTATTATATATTGTGGAGGAAGTTACTGCTATAAATGCATGAAAACCATTTTACTCTTTGGGGGTTTTTCTTCCTCAGCAATACAAAAATGATGGAGAAATGAATATTACATTATTGGCTTGTCAGAAAATTGGACGTTAATACGAGAGAAAAAAAGGCTGACATTTTCCATAATCAGATTCACAATTGAATAAAATTTAATTTTTATGGATCAATATCACTTTGTCTCAGTTTCAGAGATGTAGATAGAGAAGAGTTAGAGCTCAGTGTTTGCCTATCAGATTTTAATCTCAAAAGCATGAGGTAGCTAAACGGAAAATTATTATAGTGTGCTCTTGTCTACAGAAATACTGTCAGGTGGCTTTGCATGGCCCGTGCAGTCTCTGCAAATATGGGAAAAAAAAAACTTATAATACGTAGAAAGTGCTCTGTTCTTCCCTCCAAAAAATGTCTTTAATTCAATATTTGGCATACATAAGAGTCTTCAGATTTAAAGCAATAAATAATGCTTGTTGATGTACTGTCATTATAGTGTATATTGCTAGGTTTGAAGCAGAGAGAAGTAGATAATTTATTCCCATTGATGGCTTCAAAACTGAACCTTTACCAATGCCATCATGATTAGCCCTAGAAGTTCCTTTCCTGTTTAATTCTTATGAATTATTTTTGCACGGGCAGCGCTACCCTGCTTTAGATATAGTGTAAGAACTCTAAGGCATTTCATATTTTAAAAAATATATTATTTTTTGTTAAATTAGAATGGTTTGACATTTTTAATCATTTGTTCTGAACAAATAAGGCAACTTGGTTTCATGTGCCATCTCTCAATCATTTATTACTTAAGCAAAATTTCCTCAGCTAGAATTCACATCCCAAAGATTTTAGAATGCTGAATTTAGTGAAAGATTTCAGAAATCTTTTCTGGTCTATTTTGAGACATTTTGATAAGCCCCTGTAACTTCCAATTAATTGCATGATTATTTGAGTTCAGCCAATTTGAATGTGTTATCCAGTAGGATATGGGAAATAATGATCAATGGTAGATTGCTCCTGAATTAAAAGAGTCTTCCTAGAAAACCATCCTCCTGTGTTTGGGATACCAGCAGAACAGATCCTCAGATGCAAAAAGAAAAAATTAAAAAAGAATATATGTGTGAAGCCTGAAACAGTGGTTTGACTCCTCAGGTAATGTTCGTAGTTACTCATCTGAGACCTCATAGGGTTCAACCTAAATAGCTGAGGATACAAAACAGCTTCTCAGGAAAGTGCCTATGTAAGTGCAGACAGTAATTCTGTTTCTCCTCTCCTATTTCACCAAGGTGGTGGTCAATGCCCTTGTAGGAGCCATCCCTTCCATCATGAACGTCCTGCTCGTCTGCCTCATCTTCTGGCTCATCTTCAGCATCATGGGAGTAAATCTGTTTGCTGGAAAGTTTGGGAAGTGCATTAACAAGACAGAAGGAGATATGCCTTTAGACTCAAAAATCATTAACAATATGAGTGACTGCATACTCTACAACGTATCCGGCACGTTTTATTGGACAAAAGTTAAAGTTAACTTTGATAACGTCGGTGCTGGGTACCTGGCTCTGCTACAAGTGGTAAGTATGGCCCTCCACCCCCCAAAAATGTTTCTTATTAATTAGATATATAACTGTTTAAGCTTCTAAATGGAGAAATGCTGCCTACTCCCACTGAAATAATCACCTTATAGGATCAAGTTAACCTGTATAATTTTCTGCTTATTTTCAGCCTTACCCGTTAGGAATATGCCTTTCATGAAGTTCAGATAATCCATATTTGGCATATAAATGTGTTCTAGAGATGCTGGGTTTTATTTAGAGTTTCTGGTGCATCACTAATATGATACGAGGTGATGTAACTACAGAGATGATAAAGACCATTTTGTAGATGTTGTAATCCAGAATTAAGTTCAGATCTTGAAACACTAATTTATGGTCCAGGAAGGACCGTTCATGCAAACAGAGTGTACCGGCCTTCCTGAACCACCTGGGCCTTCATTATTTCCCTACTGTAAACAAAAAGAAAAAAAAAAAGTTACAATGCCTACAGTTACTCATTTGAAGCTATTGAATTTGGGACATAAATAATACATGCATAAAGCACCCTGCAAAACACCCTCTATAAAAATCATAGCAGCAGCTCCTAGTAAACTAGCTTTTCAAGGCAGTGCTACATAATTCAGTTTAAAAAAAGAATTTAGAAAGTTAATCTCCCTCAGTGTTAACTTAAGGTTGTGGATCCATTCCAAAAAGATATATATATATATATATATTTGTGCATAGCTCTCTGGTGTATGCACGGTCTATACATCCAGTACTCTAGCAATCAATATGTATTTCTTTCTCATTTATTTCAGGAGACAGTCGAACAAGAATTAGTTAAGTCAGATACAGATTTTCACGATTGAACTGGAAAATGAAGTTTAACTTCTTATTTGCTATCATACAGTAAAGGACCCTTAGATTAAGTCCCTATTTTTACTGTAAGCATAACCTACTTAAACAATCCCATGAAACACAGCATTAATCAGATTGCTATACCTCACTGTCATACAGACTGATATTTCTGTAAAAAAAGAGCAAGATATTAGAGAAGAGGCTGTTGAGTTTCAAAGTTAATTGCAATATTTGATCTATAAAGACAGAATTAAGGCACTTTTACAGATTTTTTTTTCAATAGCCAATGTAAAACATGGATAAATAGGTTGCATATACTGAGAGTTACTGTGTTGTAAGGCAACACAGCATAGTGGAGCCACAGGAGATTCTGTCTTCCCTTCCAGATCTTGCCACTCTGCTGCTGAGTGACTTTAGGCAAATTGCTTCTTGTTCCCATTCCGTGGGGCCCTCATGTAAAACAGTGATAATGGCACTTAATTCCGGTTGTTCTTACTTTGCTTTGAAACCTAGATGTGGCAAGGACTGGATAAGTGCCTGGAATGTTTCTTGCATTGCATTTTATACAAACAAATGCTTCGTGATATGCATAGACAAGGAGGTTGCTGTTTAGAAGGATCTGTGATAGCATTTATCTCTTCTGGGGTAAAAACTTCTACACTCGGTGCTTGATTGAGTTGTGCTACACAGGCATGTGCTGCCCTTTGCAACTGTATAGGGTGCCAACCTTGGCTTCCTTCTGCTCTTCCAAGAGGGCATGGACCTTCTCAGGTACCCTTTGATACCTACCAACCCTACTGTTTCCCATGAGGCACACTTGCTTTTTGGTAGATAGTACTTTTTTCTCTGTCACAGAACAGAGGGCAAAAGCAGCCTTTATTTCTTGTAGAAGTGCTCATCCTTATATTTTCTGTTCTTAGCACACACACACCTTGAATCTGAGATATTTTGACCATCGTCTGTGGAGTCCTTGCAGTCACACCTTCTAGAAAACAGAAGGATTAGAATGGGCACAGCCATGTCTGGTTCTTTCTATGTCCTAAAGCTGAACTGAGAGCAAGAGCTTTTATCTTTTGCATGTAATTATGATATTCAGTTCACTCATGCAGGGTAGATTAATTCACTTTGAACGGTTTTAATTAGATTTTCCATTCGGTAGAGTGCTTTCTTTGTCTTTTACTTAAACATCCAATATAGCTGAGCAAAAACTTCCAGGTTTAAACTGCTATGCCTCATCTGAAGCTCCTTATCTCCTCAATGGCTTTATAACAGAAGTCTAGTTTGTTTGGTGAAAAAAAAAACTCAGAAGATACATTAACAATATTTTTAAAGAATCCAGAAATTAAGGAGACTTGTTTAGATATCATCATCACCTAAAAGACCCTAAGACTGTTGTTTCTGTGAAGAAAAATAGCCATTTTTCTTCTACCTTTGTTTTATAGGACCTGAGCTCCATCTCTCTGGAAATTTGCATTTTTTTTTTTTAATTGGCATTGCCCAAAGTGTACCCCAAAGCATTCTTTTTTACCATTGTGCTGTCCTGATTCTTGGACGCTTGGTGCTGGTGATACTGACTGTTGTCAGCAGGTGGGACTACGGACCACTAGAATGTTGAAAAACGACTAGTTTGAGGACAACTAAAACATAACCAGTATTGAAGTGGACCACAGCACATTCATCGGGGGACTATGAGGTATGGTCCTGTAACAGGTAGCAGAGAAGCAGATTTTCCAATTGCAGAAGTACAGAAGAAGTACCATAAATGTAGACTCTATGGAGGCTGGACAAACAGATTATAGCTGTAAATGAGGGAATCTTAAAACCCTGGGCATCTTTTAAGACAGGTGTTGGATCCTTCTTTCAACATCCAGGACATTAGGAGTCAGTTGCTATTTAGAGGTTGCTTTACATCATCATCCCACACCTGGAGCTCTTATATCTGCTACTACTGACAGATTTAAGCAAGAAAGATGTTAAGATGATACCCACAGAAAAGGGACCCAACATCTGGTTCTTTTCTGATGGAGTCCAACTGAGGAGTGTTGGTTACAGGGACCCCTTGCCAAGCACAGCTGCATGTGGTGTCACATATCATGAACAAGCTACCATAGGAATTCCACAGGATCACTTAACAGCTCAGCTCTCCTAAATGAATATATCGATGCATCTTTGTGCATGGCAAGACTGTGTGTAATGGTGAGGAGATAAGCATTTTGGCTAAAACCCTCAGGGATCCAAAATACAAGTTTCTGAAAGGAAAGAGATGTGTTGACATTTTCAGCTGCCGCAGCACACTCTTTAAACAGCTCCAAAGTTGTCTTTAGATGCCCGAATGCATCTGAAATTGCATAAGACAAATCTGTCTGCCTAATGTTCTGGCTTCGCTTCTACATGTAGCTGCAGGATCCTTGAGAGAAACAACATTGCTACTACTACTAGTCTGTTGCAGTGAGTGCAAGAGCCAGCAACTACCATCCAGAGACAAACTTTCTGATAGCTTAGATGAAAACAGAATAAGAATAGGTCTTTTCCTACCTAATCAGAGATTTGTCATTTTCTTCTGAAGATGCTTTGATTTATACCATGCCTTGACTTATACCACGCCTTGATTTATACCACTTTGAGTCTGAGAAAACATTCATATCAAGTGGTCATTAAAGCTTCAAGCTTCTACAGTTTACAAAGGGACTGTCTCATAACAGATTACTAAAATAGGAAGCAGTCTGTTCACTCTGCAACCTAAAGAAAAACCTCATTCATGGAGAGAAAAAAGTTCTTTATTATCAAGACTTTTTAATTTCCAAGAAGGATGACTCATTCTTCTGGGGTATAATCTCTTAACACCTCAATCTATTAGGAGTAATTTTTAGTTCAACCTAAGACCTCGGTGATGCTGTCTTTAGATTCCTAGAAGTGCTTCATCTTTGATCTCAGTACCTATGTTTCATCAATCTGTACTTCTGCTGACCAAAGAAATAATCTAAATTTTCTATTAGAAATTTTCCATTTCTGTTGCATAATTATTCCCTTCATGTTATCATGCCCCCTACATATTTTTGTAATACAGCAGTTGTCTGAAAACAAGTGATCTCTTAGCCTGCGTCTAGTTGGCTTAACAACATTCTCCCCAGACTAGAACAGACTTCTAAATGTTCTGTAACTCCTTGTCACTCTGGGACTCCAGATAAGGAATGGGAAGGTAAAGGGAGCATTCCTGGTCCAGTACAACAGCCAGGAGGTACAGGGTTAAATCAGCCCCTTTGGCCAGATTCGAAGTCATGACTGAGCTCATAAATCAACTACAAAATGGTCATGAGACAGTGGCATGTGTCTAAAGTTACTGAGTTACATGATCTCTTGCACTTTTGTAAACTGTGTGACAGATTTTACTTTCAGTGGGAATGCTAAAAAAAAGTGCTAGAAGTCATTTTTCATATATATATATACATATATATATATATATATATAGGTCTGCCAAGGTAGATTTCTCCATAATCTCCAAAACTCACTAGATTAAGGAAAGAATACACAGGCGACATATCCACGACACCTTTCAAGGACAGCAGAGACAGTGCCCTCCTGCCGTGTCCTACCTAGCCCAGCACCAGCACTACTGTCGTAAATCATCAAAACCCAAAAATAACAGAAAATGAGCACGCCATATAAAACCATTGTTAAAATGAAACCAAACAGACCAAAAAAATCACCAGAGAACCAGCAGATAGTACACCCATCATCTCAAATATGTGTAATTTGTATGTGTAGCTGGCACCCTGTTCTAGGTTTTGTGAGCTTTTGCAAATAATATTAATACTTAAAGAAGCATTTTAGGAATGTGAAATTGTCATTCCTGTCTTCCAAAGCAGTCATTTCTATTGTAGTGTTGCCGTCCTTTTCTAGAGAAACATTCCCCCGGAAAGTTCTAAATCCTTGTTTTATTTTAAGGCACCATTTGGTTGTATGATAAAGGGCTTGAGGGCAGTTAGTCCCATCCCACCTACCCTCCTCCTCACTAATTTACTGCATTGCAGCTCTGACCAACAGTCAAACAACAAAGTGTAATCCCATCCCAAGATGAGTTTATCAGTAGATAATCTCATCACATGACAGTTTCAGTAGAAAATGGTGTTTCTCTGGATAGCTTCCAGGCAGGATAATATCACACACACTCCCATGAAGATTTTGTCACTTCCTTATCCAGAGCATAAGTAGTTACTAATTCCAGATAAATAATTTCTTTGCCCAGTGTTATATTTCTTTCATTCTCTGTATCTTTTACTCTCTGCAGATGAAATGTCTAGGGAAGCTTTCCAGAAGCCCTGTGGATTTTTAATTCTCTTACTTCTGGATAACTGGGGAAAACAGATAATCACAGTTCTTCATTCTCTTAATATGTGTTTTCATCAGATCGTTTCATCATCTTTTAGCACTATAAATACTGTATCTTGCAGCGGAGTCTCTTGCTTCCATGGTACATGTCTCAGGAGAAAAAAAATCTTCCCAAGTAGGAGAAAAGTACAAGTTAAGATCATCTTATTTTGTGGCTTGAGCAGAAGTATTTTTTGATGGTGTTTTGTTTTGTTTTATCCAGCCCAGCTTATCTGAACAGCATCTTGGGTTGTAAACTGCAAGCAAGTATAACTACACTAGACATCACATTAGATAGAAAACAGTAAAAAGAAAACTGTTAGCACCATTGAGGAGGATCAGTGTAGCAGGTTTAAATAAGTATTTGTTTCAGTAAAAGTGCTGATGATATCACTTGGAAAGTGTTTGCTCAAACCCTGTATTGTGGCATAGATTTTCCAAAAGGTTCTGATTTTCAGGGCTTAATCTCCCTCAAGCAGTAGATGAAAATGAATGCAACCTTTCAAACATTATTTTATATATGCTTTCATGAAAAATAAATAGGGTTGACCTCTTGCACAACATTTTCCTTTGGCTCAGCAGCATTCAAAAGAGAGCGGAATGGCAGCATTACCTGCAAGATTTAATTTAATAATGGAGAGTGTATAATGGAACATCTCTAAAACCTCTGGATATACCTAGCTAAACACAAATGCCTGGGTTTCTCCTGGGAACCCCTGGCACGGGTCCAATTAGCATTACCTAGGATTGTTTGCCTGGGAACCACAGCAGAAACTCAACCTATGGGTCAGGAGGACTTTAGAAAATGCTGAGTGTGGGTCTATCATACATGCAAGTGAAAATCAGATTAAATCAATTAATGCAAAGATACCAGATTACCTACTCACCCCCAGTTTTAAATACATTGTAAATCAAAATATGTCAAAAGACAAATGAGAATCAGTAATATAAAGGCAATAAAATCCAACAAGATTCAGTGACTTTTAAGGAGTCCTTTTTAAAAAATTCTTTTTCCTTTCTTTTCTTTTTCCTTTCTTTTCTTTTTCCTAATAATACACGCTTATTTAAAAAAGAAAAAAAAATCTGAAAAGCAAATCAAATTAACTCCCCTGGTTTTGATAGTGACTTGATTTACCCAGTTGTTAAAAGAGGGCAGAATCGGAGCTTCAGCAAGACCCTGCAACTCTGTCACTGCTCATCAGTTTGAATGCATGTTAATGATAGGCTTCATCTCCCTCATGTGAGACATGGCCCTGCGCAGCCACGTCTTGGGAGACATTCCCTGCAGCAGCAATTATAGCAGTGCCCCTTCCTTCCTCCTCTTACTGGCTGCCTCGGTACCACGCAGATCCCAACACAGGCCTTTTCGTGACAGATTATTTCTTATTTACTTAAATTTTCTACAGGCATAACTTTCCAGTTTCTAAAACTCTGACTTCCAAAGGTTTAATTGCCATGTTTTAGCTTTCCTTATTTAAAATCTCTATTAAAATTCTCTGTTTCATCCCTATGACTGCAGAAAATTCAAAAACAATCTAAATGAGAGCATGCAGGCAAAAACCATTCCAGTATCATTTTAAATGCCTACAGGAATACAAGTGCATCTATTTTATTGCTTTAAAAGAAAAACAATTCATTAACTGTGAAGAACATACTGAATATCTTTTTTTTTTTTTTTTTAGGAGGATATAATCATTTTAAGATTTGCTGATTTAATATTTTTAATTATACATTTTGGCTTTCTTTTCAGGCAACATTTAAAGGTTGGATGGAAATTATGTATGCAGCAGTGGATTCACGAGAGGTAGGTCACTGCAATGAAATAACTTCTTTCCTTTTCAGTTGAATTTTGCAGCATTCTTAATGTTTAGCAACAAAAAAAAAAATACAAGTGCATGTTGCCTGTGACAGCTGTGGGAATTTCATTCATGGTAACTGGTCTCACAAGTACCTAGCCTAAGATATTAAAACAAATGCAGTTCTCATTCTGCACCTCTGCTTTATATAACTGCCTTGAAGATGCATTGAGATGACCATGTTAGACTTTGTCTTTCAAAATGTCCAGCACTGAAAAGCACCTTTTCAGGTTGAACTGAGTGATAGTGAGTCATGTTCTAAATGGGTTAAAAAAAGGTAGGAAAAACTCACATGCTCAAAGATGCAGAAAAGTATATTTGCTTAACATAGCCTGTGATGCTCATTTATCCTTGTACTACATGAACAATTTTGCATCCTCCCTGCTTCTGAATGAAACCCAGGATTATGCATGGGAAGATGGGACGTATGGAAAGATGAGAGCTTCTGGTGTGGGCACCTTGCTTGGTTATCTAGAGCTGGTCTGGCAAATCTGAGTGTTTTTGCCAAATATCATGTGTGTGATCTAAGGCAACAAGACTGCATCATTTGCTCCTTCAGCAAGATCTCTGGTGCCCTTGGAGTTGGTTCTAGGGCATTATCTACTATAAGGTTTTAATGCTATTGGGACTCCTAGAGCACAAAATGGTAAAAAGAAAGAAAAAAAAATGTAATTCTAGCTCTTGCAGTCCAAAATGAGTTGAGTGCCCACAAAAGCAGAACAGGAGGGTCTGCAAAGGCAGAGCTTGCTTTAGTGTCACTGATCTTTTTCAAAATTCCATGATTTGTTTCTTTCACAACTTTGAGCTGGATAAGCTGTTAGAAACATTGAACTCCAGACATAAACCCAGTACTGGCAAAATTCATTACAACTCTTGATTCACTAGATTTTCCAGATAATATTTCTTAATCAGTAGAGTTCTTTCCAGTATGGATATTAGGATCAAAATGATTTGCATACTTGGTCTGCGTTAAGAAGGTGGCATTTACCACTATACAGCCATCAGAGAGTTCATTTCTACTCAGAGTCAGAAATGACCATACTATCAAATAGATTGATTTTCAATACAGTGTTTTTTTTTCAGTAACATTTAATTATAATGCAATTATATTTTTGTTATTGGAAGTACTATCAGTTCATATAAAATTAGGGATAATCAGAAGATTGATTCTTTTCCCCTTCTAGGTTCAGATTGAGCATATTTTATTGGATTTGTTCTGAAGTTGCACTTTTTGAAGCAGTATGATTGCTGTGACAGTACTATGAAATGCAGCTGGCATTTCATGATGGCATTTCAGATACAAGTGTTAAACTTCAAATGAAGCAGCAGTTCTGCTACTGGGATGTTATTTTATCTATGTGTATATATATATTTGTGTTTCCTAATATTTGTTGCTGATGGGTGTCTTTTTATTAACTGCATTTTTTTTTTCATATATGTGGAGATAGTGTCATTTTCATGTTTTTCCTCTTACCTTTACAGTGTGAGGAGCAGCCTGAATGGGAATGTAATTTGTATATGTACCTGTATTTCGTGATTTTCATCATCTTTGGTTCTTTCTTCACGCTGAATCTCTTCATAGGTGTCATTATTGACAATTTTAACCAACAAAAGAAAAAGATAAGTACTACATATGTTGCACATTGCTTTGTGATTGCTGCAGAGACCAAAGCATGGGATAGATTTAGAAGCAGCAGCTCTGCCATGTTCTCTAGATTAACAGAACAGCGCTGTCTTGCCTGATTTTTGCAAAAACACAGTGGTAGCAGCCCCTAATCTCCCCACAGGATGAGTGCCCTGAAAATACTAGCTGGGAGATTATAGCTCCAGGAGGACGCAGGGCCAAGCAGCCCCAGGCAGAGAGGATCTCTGGCAGCAGCTCTGCTCAGGGACACACACTGTCCTGACGTCTCCGCTGTGTGAATGGCACTGTCCTTCAGAGCAGCGCAGCCTGTGCTCCTCGACACGACACATCCCTGTGTACCTGCAGGGCTCAGAGCAAGAGCAGTCTGGCCAGGGAACGGTGTCTCTCACTGTTTCAGCCACTCTAAACAAAGCAGGGAAGTTCTTGTTCACCCTGGGCCTATCTCAAGTGCAGACAAGATTTGACACTGCCTCTTGCTGCCCCTTGGTTGCACATGCTGCCTTATGTCCCCTGCCCTTCACCTCCATATAATAAGCAGCATCCAGCATGTCACCTTCTCAGACCCTTGTTAGATATTTTTATGAAAGCTAAATGACAAAGGAAATAGAAAATAAGGGGTGGGTGCAGCTCTAGACGTGGCATGCAAGCAGTAGTAGCAGTTTATTTTTCATCCAAAGTAACAGTTCTGTTCTCATCCTATACTTAGGTGGACAAGATATTTTTATGACAGAAGAACAGAAAAAGTATTATAATGCAATGAAAAAACTGGGATCTAAGAAACCTCAAAAGCCAATCCCAAGGCCAGTGGTAAGAATGGCGTAGTTCAGTTGGGCTGTGTATGATAAGTGAATAATTAATAGAATAAATGCAATTCAATTTCCAGATCTAAAAGGAGCAATCAAAAACAGATGAAAAACTCTTTGCATTGATTTGTTTTGGATGGTGTTTGCAGGTCCAGGGATGGTACAAAATTTTGTATGGTACAAAATTCCCACTATTCTGCAATATTGACTAAAATCCAGTTCAGATATGCAATTACATAGCATGTATGGGTCTATTTTGAATGAATTTGGACCCTCAATCCAAGGTCTTTTTCCTCTAGTTTCAAGAGCATTAGAAGTAAATGCGTTTGAAATCTCCATGATCCAACCATCCATCATCATCTTCATGTTTATGAATTTCTAATCAGAACGCCTATATTCTCTAGTTAGAAGCTGATCAATAAGGAGAGAATAGTGTCATCATTTGGATGTGGTCCAGATTGCCTAACTAATAATACTATCTTTTCCTCCAGAACAAATACCAAGGTTTTATTTTTGATGTCGTCTCAAAACAAGCCTTTGATGTCTCCATAATGATTCTCATCTGCCTTAACATGGTTACTATGATGGTGGAAACAGATGACCAAAGCCAAGAAAAAGTGAACATCCTCCACAAAATAAACATGCTTTTTGTTGCCATCTTCACTGGAGAGTGCATCATTAAAATGCTTGCTTTGCGACACTACTACTTCACCAATGGCTGGAACATATTTGATTTTGTCGTTGTGATTCTCTCTATTGTAGGTAGGTGAATCTGAAGGGAGGGAAACGATTCCACCAAATTCAAATGATAAAAAGGCCAGCATAAATTATTCAGGCATAGTTAAATGCTTCATGAAATAAAATGCATTTTCTTCTTAGGATTGGGTCCTAGGGATATATTTTTTTAATATACAATTATATAGTCTAACACTGCCTATCAATAATTCGTGTGATCAAGGAAACAATGAAATGTCTTAGACCACCAGATCAGTTCAGAGCCAAAACTCTTACATCATCAAAGAAATTAACAGATATCGTTCTTTCGTGCTGTAGTATTGCTTTCAAAGTATATTTAAAGGTTCATGGAAGTATCATAATATGTGATTCTGAACTGGACATATAGATGAACCCTATTCTGCATTGCTGCATAAGAGGAGGTTTAAAGCCATGTAAAAATGATACATATAGTTACTATTAATTTGTTATTAATTAGTGTGAAATTGTATTATATTTGTCGTACATTAGTGTGAAATAGCCCTTTAGGGCCTCATTGGATAGATGCAGTGAGTCTGGCTGTATTCAGCTTGGCTGTTGCTGGACACTCAAATCCTCATCCTTCCAGGGAGCAAAACAGTAGTTGTGGCTTCCATAGCGTCACATATTCCCTTTTCCCATCTTGCAGTCCCATATGGAGAGCATAAGTGAAGTGGTACATAAATGCAGCTCAGACATGAAGCTCAAAGCCTGCTGAAAGAGCATGATGTTGAGGTTGGGAGCAAAGTAACAACTGGAAGATGGGCAGAGCTGATCCAGTGATGAATTTCCACTGTTAAAAATATCCTCTTTGAAGATGGAAATGAGTAAATGAAAATGTGTCATGTTAGAAAAACAGCACTATCTCTTCACTCACTGGTACCCCCATTGCTCTAAACTCCCTCCTGCACACCAGGGAGCCTGCAAGCTCCTGGCTAGGAGATACAGGGTTCCCTGGTGCCTAGACTCCAGCTTGCACTTTGAGGATGCCTGGATCAGCTCAGCCCACCTGCTTGCAGAGATTTGGGCCACATGGGGAACATCACTGCAATGCAGGTTTCTTCAGAGCCTAGGTGCTCTGAATGGCAGAGCACATGGAGTGAGCATAGGTCAATGAAGGCCAGGGACAAAACTGTTGTCAAAAGAGAAATATTCTCACCAGCCCCATTCAAGAGAAACTACTCAGGCATCGAAAGCTGCAGATCTTCCTGCTCTCCTGTCTTAGCTGATCCTTGTTCCTGGTTCACAGTAGTCAGGTTTTCCCCTTATAAAGAATTCACTACCATCGACACATCTATTTATAGTCTTACAAGGTTTACATGGATTAAGCAGGAATGGAAATCTTAGTTGAACTACCTTTATGCTGAGTCTGCCAGTGTGGGAGCTTTTCACTGTTTTTGTCCGTGATCCTGATCGTTGAGTGCTTTAAGAGGAAATCTGTGATTATTTCCCATCTACTAAGTTGCTTTTTTCCCCCCTTTCTCTCTTGTTTTCAAGGCACTGTGCTTTCTGACATCATCCAGAAATATTTTTTCTCTCCTACACTCTTCAGAGTCATTCGCTTGGCTCGGATCGGCCGGATCCTAAGACTCATCCGGGGAGCCAAAGGAATTCGAACCCTCCTTTTTGCCTTAATGATGTCCCTACCTGCTCTGTTCAACATCGGCCTCTTGCTTTTTCTTGTCATGTTCATTTATGCCATTTTTGGCATGGCTAACTTTGCCTATGTGAAGAAGGAGAATGGGATCGATGATATGTTCAACTTCCAAACCTTTGCTAACAGCATGCTCTGTCTCTTCCAAATCACAACGTCAGCTGGCTGGGATGGTCTTCTTAATCCTATTTTAAACACTGGACCACCGTATTGTGACCCAAACCTCCCAAATGCGAACGGTTCGAAGGGAGACTGTGGAAGCCCTGCTGTAGGGATTTTATTCTTTGTTACTTATATCATTATATCATTTCTCATTGTTGTAAACATGTACATAGCCATTATTTTAGAGAACTTCAGTGTAGCCACTGAGGAAAGTACAGAGCCTCTAAGCGAGGATGATTTTGATATGTTCTATGAAATCTGGGAAAAGTTTGATCCTGAAGCCACTCAGTTTATTGAGTATTCTGCACTTTCAGACTTTGCAGATGCACTGTCAGAACCTTTGCGCATAGCGAAACCAAACAAAATTAAGCTCATAGCAATGGACCTGCCCATGGTCAGCGGAGACAGGATCCATTGCCTGGATATTTTGTTTGCTTTTACAAAAAGGGTGCTAGGAGAATCAGGGGAGATGGATGCCCTTAAAATCCAGATGGAAGAAAAGTTCATGGCAGCGAATCCATCCAAGATCTCCTATGAACCGATTACAACCACGCTCAGGCGGAAGCAAGAAGAGGTCTCAGCCATCGTCATCCAGCGGGCCTACAGGAGACACTTGTTTCGGCGCTCCATGAAGCAGGCCTCCTACTTGTACCGGCACAGAACTTTTGACAGCAGCATCCTTGAGGACGATGCACCCGAGAAGGAAGGTCTCATCGCATTCATGATGAACGAAAACTATGGCAGGCCGATAGACAAATCAGAGACTCTGTCCTCCACATCCTTCCCTCCATCCTATGACAGCGTCACCAGAGGCACCAGTGATAACCTCCAGCTGAAGATTACGGACTCCAGCAGAAGCGATGAGGCTATAGATTGTCTGCTCTCACCGGACAGAGATAAAGAATCAATTGTTTAAATGTTTGTTTAGAATGCTTTAAAACATTGTTTACAGAATGTAATGCTGTAACTACACAACGATTGAAGCAGCCTTCTTATTAAGCATTAGTTGCAAAAGAAGCGATGGAGTTTTTACCCTTAACTACAGGAGTCTAATAAGTCATATAACCTCTGACCCTGCTCTTTTTGACTTGGCTCAATATTTATATTTATATATGCACAGGACAAATCTCTGCAGGGTCACAGCTGTTATATCAATGGTGTGAATATGAATATGCTAGACTGTAAAACAGTAAACACAGTGTATATCTATCCACAGATAAAGCCTGGCTGTATACATTCATTTAAGGTCTTACTCATATTAGTGTGTTTACTTATGGCAATGTATGACCTTGCATTCTAAAAAGAAAAAAAAAATATATCACAGCTGCTGTAGCAAAATGTAACACTTACTGTATATGTTGTGAATGGTCTTTCATAAATTTATTATATTTGATATTTTTTTACTTAAAAGAAATTGTCTCTTTTTCCATGGAGATTAATGATCCTTACACTCTTCATGATGAACTCTGAGTCAAGATAATAAGAACTTGCAGGATCCTCATCATTTGAAGAGGAAAGTTGTTGCAAAGTAAACTATTAAATTAGCAACATTTTAATTGTTTATTACACTAATCTCTCCCTCCTGAGACTTGTAACTGCTCATCAGCAGGAATATATTTAAAAAAAAAAAAAAAAAGGCAGAAGAAAACAATGTCAAATAAGAAGAGAAATTACTTGTTCTATCCTGCAGGAAACTAGACAGCAATGGATTCTGTTTGTAAAACTGTTAATAAAAGCACTAATTTTTTTAGTATGTTTCAAGAATCTGCTTTGAATACTGCAATCAGACTCTCATAGATAGACGTAGTGCATCACATTGTGTGTAGTGCTCCAAAGCACTGCTTATTCTGGCAAAGTTTCTTTTAAGGGAGTGGGATAGGCTATGCTTCTTCCCCAGGAACACTGAGCTAATCAGCCTTATTGGAAAATTTGTGGATCAATACCACTCCAAAAGAAAAAAAAAAAAAAAAAAGAAAAAGAAAAAAAGGCTAAAAACTAATAATGAAAATGCCAACTGGGCTGTACAGAACAGTTATGACAGTGTGACTGAGAAGACGAGAGGGGAATTGCCTCTACATCTGTTCACAACTTCTGAGGGTTTTGAGTCCTTTCTGCTCAATGTCCTTCTTTCATTTTCTCAGATAATACAGCCAGATATCTGGCGAAGGACAAGAACTACAGGAACCAATAATAAGAATCTACTAGAAAACAAAAATACCTTCGTTCTTGCCGGCAAAGAAATATTTACAGCTGATGTAGACATCAGCTTCAGGCCAAAGATATGACTAGAGTGTGGAAGGTTGGTGTGTGGCTGTAGAAAAGTATTAGAGGCTTTACATGCTAAAACAGATTATTATTTATTGTTAAATTTTCAGCTTTGATAGAATGTGAGAAAGTACTTATGGAATATAGAGACAAGTCCATCATTACAGACGAGTTTTATTTTGTTGGGTTTTTTTTCATCTTCAGAATGATTGTACTTAGGTTTGGTTGGACTTCATGGAAAATCCTGCCTGAGATTTCTGTAATGAGCCATTGCACTTTAAGGAAGAGTAATTGTGCTTTTCACCTTGGAAAAGCAAAGCTATCAAGAATGTATTTAAGGTGTACTGTCATTGACTTTTATTTACATCCCAGGTTCTAAAGGAGTCAAAATCCACATGGGGCTGGCAAAAGAATTTAAGAGTGACATGTTACAGTGAACTTTATCTATGGCCGTATTATCTGTCCTCTAAGCAAATCAAAATATGTAAAGACAACACATACTATGTATCTGTGTAAATATGAGCAAATATATTCTCTCCTTTCATTGAGAGGTGTCTCAGGCACTCACTTGAGAGTGGTTTATTGGTTAATTCAGAGGATTTGCCATCAGGATTTCTGGGGTCTATTCCTGATTCTTGCTGAGTGATTTTTAGGCGACAAATAATTTAACCTAACTGTGCCTCAGTTTACCCATCTGTAAAATGGGAATAATAATACTTACCTACCTCATGGGGGGTTGTAAGGCTTGCTGATTGCAAAGTGCTATAAGGGAATGAAACGTACTATATAAGTATTATTATAAACTTGCTCTCTTGCCCTTTTAACCCCATGTCTGTGGTATATAACATAGGGCTGTTCCTCTGGGGATTTTGTTGCCTTTAAATCTTGTATGTAATTAGATTCCAGCTTAAGGGAACTACTCTTCTTTCCGTAAAGTGAAAACATTCTTTTTTCTTTCCTTCCCACACCTTCAAAAAAACAAAAATAAAAAAAAAAAACTGCTCAAGGCTTCTCAAGTTGGAGAAACTTTCTACAGATTCTCTATGTATTTATGATGTAAGATTATTCTGTACATATCACCCAGAAAGAGTAGGAGATTTTTATATTTATATTAGACACATACACACACACACACATATACTATACATATATATCTATCTTGTGAGTTTATAGAGTGGCTGGCACTCAGAGGACATGGCTTACTGATTAAAACATTTTCTTCTCAATAGGATTTATTGATCATTAGAAACAGGCTGCCTATAATGAAACTTTCTAATTAGGAAATAGCACATACATTACTTGCTGAACAAGAATTTATTGGCTGACAACTGGCAAAATTATTTTCCTTTTGATGCTTCAGAACAAAAATGAAAAAAAAAAGAAAATGAACATTTCATAACTGATCCCTTTGTATATGAGATAAAAAGTCAAAATTTCAAAAAAAAAAAAAAAAAAAAGCCCAGCCCTCACACAGCTATGCTCTGTTGATCATATTGTTTTAAAAATACTTTTAACTATTTGCAACTTACAATAAAATGTGTCTTCTCAATACATTCAACAGATATTCTTAATAGTAGAATATCAGTCCAATGAATAGCACGTGATGGGAAGATTAGTTGGTCACTGATTATATTACATAACTCTTTCACTGATCACTGCACCCTTGCATTGAACATTTTACTGTCTGTTTTACTGTCTCATTGCTCTGAGACCCTATAGCACTGATGCAATTATAAATGGTTCTGTCTTCTACCCAAAATCTGTAAAAAAAAAGAACATAATTCACAAAAATCTGGAAGAGGGTCTTAACTATAGATGTTTACAGTGCAACTTTCTAAAAAATGAATTGTAAATTATTTGCAAAAGCTTTGTAAATGGAAGGTTGGTTTTCTATTGGGTTTTCTATTGTTTTGTGGCACCTTTCTTTAGAGCTGAAGTGAATGCTACCTTTGTATGATATGCAAAACTCCCCTTAAAAACATCAAATAACCTGACTTGCAGATCTTCTTTATTAATGGAGATACTGACCCAACTCTAGCAATGATGCAGCTTCCAAGTATGGTGATTTAGCTAAAGATATTGAGTCAATAGTTGGCCCACACTGTCTATAAGCATGGTGAGTGCTACCATTTTTTTTTCTGTTGATTTGTTTATTAAAAGCTACACCATGAATCACTCAAGCTACAAAAAGTGCAAGGAAAATATCAGCCAATATCATAGGACATATTAAGCCGTTTGTACCTGGAAAAAAGTCAAGTTTATTATGTTTCTTTATTAAATAAATAAGGATAACAAATATTTCCTGTGCCAAATTCTTTCTCTTATCTTATCAGCATTTATGTAATTTCTCTGGCTCTTGCTCAGCACCTTTGAACAATACAATCAATCAATGAAATCCACTCAAGTTCATCACTCCCTGTAAGCCTAACTTAAAGGCTTGGATCAAAGCTTGTTGAAATCAATGGAGAACCTCTGTGTACTTCACAGGTTTGGAGCAGACCTAACAGCTTCTCTTCAAGGAGCTCAACCTATAGGACCAGCCCAGCTTTGTTATTTAGACACATTGTGCCTTGCAGGATTAATTAGAGGAGGGGCTTTGCTGGAAACATTGCACCTTGCCCAGAGGTTAAAAAAAAAGAGATTTTCTTAATATTCATATAGTTTTATTTCTTTTTTGATTACATTGATTCACATTTTGGTTATTATTATGTTAGTAGTATGTCAAGACAGGCATGAAGAGGTGAGGGTAGCATCATTGTCACTGCCTGTGTGCCTTAATCTTGCCCTAAGAGTTTCAAAAGGTGGAAATGAACACAATTGACAATTGTCTTTTAGATGTTACAATTGTTTTTTGAATCAGATCTTCATGAAGACTCGAGGCATTTTGGACATCCTGTTTCAGTGCTCTGATTTGTATTTGATTGTGGCAGGTTCATAATAACATTAAAGCAGCACAAAACTGAGCTGGTTTAAGCTGCAATGAGTGAGTCCATTCTGCCTTTTGAGTCAGTTTAATAAAATCTGGTTATGTTTTTCATTAGCCTGGAGAATTCTCACTCGTAGAACAGCCTATTTTTTCCAAAAATCAGCATTTACTAAAATGGATCATATAATTATTAATAATACAGCTTCTGAGTAACTGAGTGAGTAAGAGTCCACTTTAAATTCTTTCAGAATGGTAGTTTTGGTTGGAAAGAACAGTTTGTTGAAAAAAAATAACTTCCTTTGGAGATGTCAGGCTAGTCAAAGAAATCCCTGGTTAGAATTGGTCATCAAAATTCCCATGGGAATTAAATTCAGTGTCATAATCCTTCCTGAGATTTCCAGGCATAGATTTTTACTAAAAGTGCCTAATTTCTGTATGTGTCTTTCAGTAACTGTGCTAGACACTGTTTTGGGTTATGTGGCATTCCTTATTTTTGCATGTGTGCATATATCTCAAAACTTTTTAAGGACTTTCAGATTTCCTATTTGACAAGGTGAATTTTCAATCAGTCCATTTTAATAGACAAGATACCTTGTTTTCCAGCCCTAACAAGGAACCAGAAGCACTGGTTCCTTAATTAATAAAAATTTTCCACACTCCTGCAGGCAAATACATTGATTTTACAGAGATACAAATCTACCCTTACATTAAAAAATTCAAAATTAATTTATAAATTGTGTACAGTTTATAACATCAGAATCAGGACCTGCAAATGCCGGATTTGCCCTGGAGATTTTGTAGCATTTTCAATTTTGATGCAAATGACGTCCCTAAATACCTGGGCCACTTCGGAAATAACTTTGGTTTCAGCTAAAGGGTTACAACATCGCAAGACTCCTCAGGGAGTTTGGGCTAAAAAAAAAAATGCATATCGTATATTGTGTTTAGGGAGAATATTTATAACCATCAAAAAGCCGCAGAAAGAAGACTACAAATATTAAAGAATTTTTTTTTTCTAGTAAGGACCAGTCTCTGGATGGATCTATCATTAATGGATGCCAATGTAGAAGGGCAGGAGGAGCTGCATGCTCCCTACCACAGCAGTGATTTTTTCTGCTGTGTCCAAGGGTGCTGAGACGAGATCAGAAGTGGCTTTAGAAGAAGCAAAAGCTGACGGGAACGCAGCCCTTAAACCACCCGGACAACTG